AGTGTATTACTAAAAAAGTGTTTATTCAAAACAATGAGAGAGAGATTCTGCAGTGGCAGCTTCTGAAGCAGGAATGTCTATTGGAGAGAAACACAGGTTAGTGACTGCGATCATGTGAAGGATTATTATGAACGCAGAAGTCACTAACCTGGTTTGACATTGTCAGAGACTTCCAGACGTGGAAGCCCTGAAGTCTGTAGAACTGAAAAGAGATCAGATCCGAGCTGAGGAAGGAAGGCAGGATAATCCACAGGGCGAAGTCAAGAGACTGATCCAGGTTCAGTCCATAAAGAATCCAACAGGATCCAAAGACAGGCAGGCAAACAGGTCAGACAGGTGCAGGCAGGCTCAAAGGTCCAAATACAGAAATGGATCAAGATCAGACAATCTGAACACTATAGTAACCTAGAAAACACTCAACACCAAAGGCTCAAGAATAATCCGGCACTGATGGCTGGGAAACAGGCAGCTTAAATTGGAAACCGGAACAGGTGGATCTAGTGAGTGATGAGGAACAGGGCAGAGCTAACAGGTGAATGAAATGAGCCATCATGCAAGCCATCAGCCCCAAAGGCCAAGACAGGTGCTATGATTTAACATTATGATTACATTGTAAATGCAACTGATTGCCCAGCACTAGTATGGATTTCAATGGAGCTTCAAAGGTTGCCACTGGAAACATCGTTCCTTCATGATTACCTCACAGAGCTGTGTGGTCTTGCAGGTGTTCCCAACAGATGCTCAGTGGAGCTAAGGACCAGAAACTATGCTTCCCCTGTCATACACCCTCATCCTCAGTGTTTATTTAACAGTGGTTGTCTTGGAAGTATGTTCCGGGTGATTATTTTGTTTTGAATACTACCCTGTAGTTCAGTTTACTGAGGGAGGGTAATCATGCTGTGCTTCAGTGTGACGTACATGTTAGCATTCAAAGTTACTCACTCCACCTGGAGTGAGTAACTATGTGCACTGAAGGTAATGATGAATGCAAAATCACATTTAGGGTCCATTTAGGGTCAGCAGTTGCCATGCAAAGTGCTGTCTGAATAAGGCTGGCAGTAAAAAGGAAGTTAAGATAAGGAAGAAGGATGCTTCCTATCGGTTGTTCATGCTGCTTACTAGCTTTACGGTTGCCCACAATCCTTTGTGTGACAGCATGTAAAGGCAAAGCCCACCTAAAGAATTTAACAAACAAACATTATTTCTTCACGTGTTCTCTGTGTGACACATTCAAATATACACACCTTTATATGTTGGGTTTTTATATCTGTTGGGTGGTGCCCTAGCACCTGATATCTGGGTGTATAATCAAAAAAGTTATGAAAATATTTTATGAAGTTTGAAAAGTCACTTGGTGTTGGTTTAACAAATAAAACAGAAAAGTGATTTGTTCATCACATCTGTGAATCTATTGGTTTCTTTAGAGGGTTGTAGCCCCAGTTTATAGAGGCACCATCTGCTTGTTTCCATCAAATAATGATGGTTCCTTTCCTTCCCAGGATAGTGTTCTTACTGTGGACCCTAGAAGGGGTTAGGAACAGGAGGTAGGAGATACAATTAGCCCAATTCAGAATCAGCCATAGTGTGCAGACCATGTATGTAGTAGGTAAGTTATTTTACACACTGCAGTAATGGTAAAGTCAGACCACAGAGTACCCTGGAAAAGCAAGCTTTGAAGGCCATGGAAAAAAAGAAATGCAACCCTAGAGTGAAACATCTACATGCTTGTGGTTAGTACAAAGGAAAATCAAAATATAATCCCAATTTTGGTTGGAAAAAAATCACACTTTTTGGCAAAGTTGTTCTATCCTAACAGCTTCGGACTCGTTCTTAGTCTGCTTGTCTTCAGCAAACATGCAGAGATTCTTTACTTAAGTGGAAGTAATAAGTTGGCAGCATTCATACATCTGTTTTCAAAGGACAATCTCTGAACATGACACTGAACACATTCTCTCATCTTCTGTGGGTGGCCATGGCGAGGCCCGTTCTGAGTAGAACCTTACCAGTAAAATGACTGTAAGGTCTGCAGCTAAGGCTCAAGGTTTTTGCAATCTTTTTATAGCCAAGGGCATCTTGTGCGTAGCAACAGATTTTTGTTTTATTTAGATCCGTGGGCTTTTATTTTTACAACAAGCTGTTTTTTGGTTCACCTGCAGGCAATGGATAATAGTTCTGCTTGTGTAATTTATCTACTGTTTAGGAGACTGGTAAAGAAGAACATAGCAAACCATTAATGTTACAAACACTACATCCCAAAGAATGTCCCAAGGCACAAGTCAAATTCTTGTGCAGATCCCCGCAATAAAAATAAAGGGTCCAAATTATCTCTGCATTTTTTTTCTTTAAAAATAACTAAATGGAAATTTTTAAAGACAGTTTATATTAGATTGTATGTGTAAATTATTATAAATTTTGTCTAAATCTTACACATTCTGCCCCCTTCTTGAGACCTTGTGGCATAACTAGTCAGACACCAACAGGGAGGGAAAACGGCTAATTGAAAGGCACTGTTTTCTCCTTACTATCTTCTCGAAGCACAGGTGCCATGTGTCTGATATCGATTTGGATGGGCTGTTGTCACGGCAATAAAAGTTTATAGTGGGGAAAAAAGGAAAGAAGCTTTTGTTAAGAGTGTCATTAAAATCATGTTTGCATACCCCTGATAAAATGCTGATTTTAATTTAAAATAAAAGTTGGGACTGAAATTTTTTAAAGAAAGAAGAATTCATCAAATCAGATTGTCAGGTCCTCTAATCTCCACATGCTTCTGTAGATCGTCTCCAAGTACCTTCAGGCAGATTCAGTCTCTAGCTCAGATACTGTAAATCTGCGGCCTGTTTCTTAGGAGGGAAAACTTTTTCTGATTTCTTTTAGTGTTATATAATCAGGAAAGATCATGGTCATGTTCATCATCAGTTTTCTATGTACGGTCTGAAGATTTTGTCTGACATGAACTAAGCCATTGCTCCATACACCTCCACCAAGTACCCAGCTTAAGTTGGATAAAGTTGTATTTCTTATGTGCGGACTTATTCTTTTTTAGACCCCACATAAGGTTTGAATGGTCGTAAAGACTTTCAGTGTTTTTTTTATTACTATAAGATATTTGTCTCATGTTTTAAGGAGACCTTTTTTTTTTTACAAGCTTTGATATTTTTCCTTCTTTGGACAAATTTCCTCACCGTCATTTATCAAACAAACATATGCAGACAGAATAAATGAGATTTTTACCACATATACCACTAGATTATTAATTGTGTAATTACACAACCTGTTTATTATTTATAGGGCCTTCGGTTATCTACTTAACTGGTTTTTGTCCTGACTAGCCCAGTTTTCTATTTCTTTGTAATGTCTAAGTTGAGGTATTAGTTTTATTGTTATATACCACTTTACTGTTTTCCATTCAGTGCCTTATAAAACATTGTCTGCTTGTTTTAATATAAACTCCAACAGGTCAATGTCCCCTAAATATTTCTGGGGATTCCTCTGTGGGCTGTACTTTTTGCGTAATGTTAAACATACGGAAAGGCTTTATAGAAAAGCTAATGTTTATTCAGAATTGACTCTTTATCGATTGTTTTCTGTGGTGATTGCTATTAAAAATAAGTTTTAATTTGGTATAAACAATTTTGCCCAAAATCTTTTTTTAAATAATATTACAGTTGCAATTTTATTCTAATTATCCTTTGCACTACCTGCAAGCATTGTGTTTAAATCTCAGGTTTCGTCGTTTCCTTGACCTTTATAACTTTTTTTTGTCTGGACTACAGTATTCAACCCCTTATTGTTTTGTGGAAAAGCTTTCTTCTCACATTTCTGTGGGGCTGCAAACCTAGTTTAAGTCCATTACCGCCTCCTAAAGGGCTGGAGGTAGAAACTCTTAGTTTTATTCTTGTTAAATGTAGTGTGATCAAAACTAAGTTTTGCCTCTGCGATTTGAAAACTGATTAAAGATGAACCCAGCCCTAGTTTCGATGTGAAGTCATATCTTGATTATGCAGGCTTATGGAATCACTGTTTTGGTTCTTTATTTCTTTTTTCCTCCTGAAATATAGTGTCTTATTTGATTTTTATGGGTTTCACATGACGACATAGGTGGAGAAAGTTCAGAAAATAAAAATTTTAATTCTTTTAAGTCACAAAATCCTGGTATTTTAACAGGGGTGTGTACATTTTTTTTATGTCCATTCTGTGCTAAGTGTTTGCCCATTTGACCTCCAATGTTTGTACAACTAATATTCTGGCCAAAGTTTTTTTGGACAGTATAAAGGCTGTCCAAACCGCATCTTTGGGATCAAATTAGGGGCTTTCCCACTTTCATCCCACAAAGTTTTGAAATAGGAATTGAACTGATTTAGGATATTGGCTTAAAATGATGATTATGTGGGGTGTGTGCCTTTGTATTTATCCATGGCTTCAGCTTTTTGCCATTACTTTCTCCATTTATGCTAAACAGCCTGGAGCTCCAGCTAAAGTGCCCTCCCTCTCCCAACTGTAATGGGTGCCATCTGTTTGGCTGTGTTTTTGTGTTTGGAATGCTCTGTTATGATGTTATCCATTAATCCTGACTAGAACAGTCGGTGTCATCCCTCTCAAGACAAACCATTCATGAAAGGAGTTTGTGCTGATGTGACAAATTATCTTTACTTTTAAAAGTCTCTGGATATTAACCTTGAGGCCCAAATGTTTGGCTGGTTAGTTGGTGATTTTCTTGTTTTCCTATCACTTTAAAAACAACCCCCCTTGTTCCTGCATCTTCTACTGTTATTTTGCTCACTTCTCATGTCTGCTCTTCTTGTTTCTTCTTCTTGGAAATCTGAAATCTTTATTCATGCCTACATTTCAAAACCAGATCTATCTCTTGCACTTAGACAGCTTGAGATAGGCACCAGCACCCCTCGCGACCCCAGCCGGGATAAAGTGATGTAAAATGGATTTTTTTCCCCCACACTCTTAATCTTTGTCCTTTTTTGTCTTTTTTGTTCCTCTCGCCTCAGGTAAGCGGACAGGAATACCATGCCGACGAGTGATTGCCCAGGCCGCTTCCCCGCATTTGTGCCTCCGCCTCACAGCAGCCATCAGAGGTGTCCAGGTTACGTCCCCGGACGGGTGGCTCCCGCCCGCCCGCCTACACCTGCCAAAGCTCCTCCACCTCCACCGTTCAAGCCTCACGTCCTGCGACTGGAGCAACGGACTACGCCCAGTTCGTCCGTGGAAAACCAGCGCAGGGAAACTCATCTTAGCCTACTGCAAAGGAAAAACACTCTTATCTGCTGCGGCTTCTCATTGGGTGCTTTCTTTCTGACACTTATTCTTGTCCTCAGTCTCACATCTGGAGAAGAGTTCGATGGTTGGTATTACAGGTCCAACCTTTTAGGATTTTTCTCAAATGAGAAATGATTTTTGTAATGTTTTGTTTGTTTTTTTTTTACAGAGAACTGTCCAGACCATCACCTATCCCTAAGTAGCTGGAATCCAGGCCACCAACCAAACAAGGATATTGTTGTTCGGAGAGGACACTTGTATAGATTGGAATCTTCTGCCACCTTCCGTTCACTTACCATTCAGTCAGGAGGTACGATAAAAAATCTAGCTTTATTTAGCATTTTAAGCAATGATATTCCGTAAATTCTCTAATATAGGCCCGGGCCTTTATTTCACTCAAGTGCATCGCGGTCCAGGCCTTTATTGGATAGAGGCCAGAATTAGAGACAGGCCTCTATTGCTATTTGAGCAAAACAGACTACCAGTGGAATGAATAAAAATGAGATTTTGTGTCTATTTGAACCTATAAAACACTAGGTTCATTTATTGAAAAAGTACAGTTACCATGTCTCGCTTGGTTTGAAGTAAAAAAAAAAAAAAAAATCCTCCAATTCTGTTTAATTCTCCTCCTCAGTTTTTCTCCTCCTCTTCATCTCTCCCTTTAATCTCCTCATCACTCGCGCTCCTCCTGTTCTGCTGCGTGTCTGTTCTCTTCCTCGCGCAGACGGGCAGCAGCAGGGCCTGTCGTCCAGCTGCGCAGGGCTGTGGTACTTGTATGTTACTTACTACCACAAGTATAATGTTGAGGTATGCCCAGAAAAAATGTTTATAGCCCCGGCCTGTATTAGAGACCGGCCATTATTTACCTCCTCTGACAGCGAGACCGGCCATTATTAGAGACCCGGCCGCTATTGGAATACAGGCCAATATTAGAGAATTTACGGTATATTATTTTTTTTTAAACAAGTAATTTTACCTAAAAGATGCAATTCATTTGACTTCTCACAGGTCGAGTAGTTTTTGCTGACAATTCGGACGGCAGCAGAAATATAACCTTAAGAACACATCACATCCTTATTGAAGACGGTGGCGCCTTTCATATTGGTTCACCAAAATGTCGGTATCGGTCCCGTGCCACAATTGCCCTAATCGGTCGCTCGGACAACAAAGCTGTCCCCGAGGTGCCCGTCCTGGGTCGCAAGTTCATCTGCGTCATGGGGGGGGGAACTCTAGAGCTGCACGGCACAGAGCGGGTTTCCTGGTCTCTGCTGACCAGAAGCATCCCCGCATCCGGGCTTGCCACCGGCGGTTATGCCTTCGAGAAAAACTTCAGCCGAGGGATCAACTTCCGAGTGTTTGACCAGGATACATCTGCACTGCTGCACGAGGAACGCTACGATACACACGATTCCCGTAATGACAGCCGGAGACTTACCCAGCAGCTCCGCTCTCTGCCACCGGGCCGCATAGTCGCTCTGGCTGTGGGGGACTCCGCGGTCAAGAGCCTGCTGGAGGAAACCAAGGCGGCCTTTAAAGAGGTCCTTGGCAGCAGATTTGCCAGTGATCTCAAATACAGGTAACGGCACATTACCAGCATGCTTCATGTTTGGATTTATTGAAGATGAATAGCTTTTATGTAGTTTGAAATTAATTAATTATTTTCCTTCCTGTGTGTATTGTACCATTGGTTTGGAGTGGAAAGTCTTTTAAGAGTTCCTTCTTTACTCTGTCTCCAGGTACTAATAACAAAGTTTTTATTTTTTCAGCTAAAGTAAACACTCTTACTTTTGAAGCCTCCCTACATGAATAGTCAGCAGTTTGTACCACACACATCCTCAATGGAAAGAAAAATAATAGCCTCCTTGATGTGTCATTTTATTGAAAATGTTCCCTTGAATCTTTCCCAGTTACTTGTCTTCCTCTTTCCTGTGCTTTCCTGCTGAATCGCACTCCAGCAGAAAAAGGAAGTGCATACAGGATAACAGGGTCTTGGCCAGAGGTTACAGCATTTGAACAAACAGTGGCGTTTTTATCTTTAAGACGACAGAAGAGGAATGTGCATCGTTGGTGGGTTTGAATAAGCTTTCAATGCCAGATGTCTTGTTACGATCACTCAGATCCAAGTATGTACAAGGTCAGTGTTTCCCTTAACTCTGTGATTTGGTGTTGTAGCTGCTGGGGTCCTCCGATTCCTGCAGTTTCACATTTCACATAGAGGGGTGAATGCCAATGCAGTGTTATTACTAACCGCAGTCCCACATCAGTTTACATGACTCGCATAAAAATGGCAATACTTACAAGCACCTCTTATTCTTGGAGTTACTGGAGTAACACCGGTTTAAGGTTTGCATGTAGCGTCTGTGACGACGTATTATAACAAAGTATATGTATGTATCATGCAATGGAAGAGGTCTATTCAAACCCACCTGTCCTGATGCTGATTAAGTGATTACCACCTTTACCTAATAACAGCATGATCCATCCATGGTTGCAACTTCTTCCATATGTCGTTTAAAGGTTGTTATAATAAAAATTAATCTTTTCTATATTTATGAAGGAATTTTGTTTATTTCTTCTCTGAAGAATATTTTAGATTCTGTATTATTTGCTTTAGGGTTAAACCACATCATGTCAATGAGATTTTAGTCCAGGCTTTGACTAGGCCACTTTATAACTTTCACCCAGGTGATTTTGTTGTTTAAAGGCAGTGCTAGGTCACTGTTCCGTGTTTCTCCATTTGTGGATAAAGGTTTGTCAGATTTTGAAAACAGATGGATCAAAGTGTTCAATGATCAATTGTTGATCATCCCAGTTGATTCATTACTTGAAAAATGTGGCAATTGGATTTCCACACAGTCTTATTACATAAATCATAATTTAAAAACTTCCTTTTTTGCTTTCAGTTAGATTATCTTTTATATTTCTAAATTAGCATGATCTAAAATTGTTAAGAGTGATTAAAAAGCAAAAGGACAGGAAACCTTTAAGACTGAAAGATGAAGAAATACTCTTTTTCATACCTCTATAGTTTCCTTTTTTAAGCTTAACTTGCTTTTGCTCTGCCAGTAGTAAATGGCTAAGATATGCTGTGGAGATATGTTTATGTGTGTGTTTCTTTCTTTTCCAGACTGACTGAATTTAGCATAATGACAGGGGGTCAGTTTGTGGGAATGTTGAGAAACGGCAGAGATTGTTGTCACAGAGACCAAATGAGGTGCAGCTTTCTGAAAGATTTCTAACACTAGTGTTGTTGCGTTTACCACCTTGAACACCTCATGACCTCACATGGGTGCATTCAGTGTGTTCGGGGTGTGTCCAAATCCTTGACTTGGACCTTGTGTTTATGACTAAAGTATAACAAATAGTTGCCTTTCCCAAACGCATTTGAGGTCCCAAAGGTTGGTTTAACTTGCGTCAGTTGTCCTTCCTGGCACGAATGACCTCTGTCTTCAGTCTTTGTGTAGGAGTAGCGTGTTCACACGTTTGCTTACATGGGTCCTTAGTGAATTCACCTCCAACCTCTGCACTTTATCTGTTCCATGCAAACAATGCAGCTCTTAACAGCATATTAAACCAGTGATCAGGGTGTAGACAACTTTTATTGTAATTTTGTATACACAGAATGTATACAAAACAAAATTTCGTTTAGTACACATTTTAGACAGTAAATGAATGTGTAATGATAGAACATTCTGTTATTTAATTACCTAATTTGGTAGTTAATGTTTTATTTTCTTACAAAAAGTTTGATTTACTCTGTATTTGATTTTTGTCTGTATTTTTTTTAGCTGCAATATGTTTGGTAAATCTTTGGTAACAGCTGTATTTTAGTATTCTGTTCTATTTGATGATGGAGATTGTTTCAATGTGTGCAGTCACACTGCTAATATCACTTTTCTTTATATCCTAATGAAGTGATTTGACAGATTTTATTACATGGGTCTAACATGCAATGGTTACACGTAATGGTTTGATTTAGATCATATGCTTTCAGTAGTCCACCCATCAGCGTTCACTATTCACACCCTAAATGTCATCTGCTGAAATGGTTTCACTTCTCTTAATTTTACTTTGTTACATTTTTTATTTAAAACTGAGGGCAATGCAGTGTCAAATTTACCTTCTTCCAGAAATATCTTTTTTTTATGTGAGTTTCATGTGAGGAGCGTTGTGAAAGAAAACTCCTTCAATGTATAAAGACTGGTCTGTGACTGGCTTCAGTACTCTGAAAGAGACAATGCTTTTATATGTGAACCATGATTTTCACACCAAGCACTCTCCACTCCACCCTTTTTGACCACTTTTCTAGTTTGATAGTAAACTGGATTGCATTGTCTTGTTCAGACTCACAAAAATCCAACATCTTCAATTATCAGCGTTTCCGAGGGTCATTAAAAATAATTAAAAGTCACTAAATTATTATTTTTTAAATTAAGGCCTCAATTGGCATTAAAATTCATTATTGTGATTATCGTGGCATTTAAAATGCTGTATTAAAAAAAATAGTCAGATATATTATATTGCGATATATTTGCGCGGAACTGCTTCCGGTTGATCGTAAAGTCGTCAATCGGAAAAGAAGCTTGCGCCAGAGAAAAAGCTAGAGAATGGAAAAATGCAAATTTCAACAAAAGTGGCTGAAAGACAAGAAATTCAGGACATGGCTGCAGCCTGTCAATGGTAAAGATGACGAAGGATTTCACAGTGTTTTTATATATATATATATATATATATATATATATATATATATATATAAATATAAAAATTTTTTGTTGATGGCATTAAAATTATTTCTAAGAGCATTAAAAAACAATTAAATTACAGTTACTCATTCCTGTATAAAGCCTAATTATCCACTTGGAGAATTGGACTACAACGTAACTTTGAGAAATGAAAGTTGCGGATTTGCAAAATCCCTGTTCAGCAATTTTGCAGCAAATACCTATAGTTGCTATTCAAAGAACATAATGAGGAATGTAGAAAACTAAAAAGGTAAAAGCAAACAAAATATAAAGATATCCAAACTCTTAATTACACACAAACAAAATGATTTAATTGGTTAAAAGACCACCACTCATAGGTGTGTTGAGGACATTTTGTTACGCTACTCCTGAACCAAAGGCGGCATCAGAAGTGTCTTGGCATGGCTATGAGGAGAAAAAAGGGCCTGACCGATAAAGAGTCCTTTCTTATATTAAAAGTAAAGATGTAGAAAAAAAGTAGGGGCATTTTGTTAGGAAAAGTTTCAAGAATCTGGAGGAAAAGTTTAGGCATAGTTGCCTGAGGTTAATTCTAAAGTTGCCACAGGAGTTCAGGATTTAGTGGATCATTCATTTCATCTGCTGATCATTCCCCTGCAGTTGAATGTATTCACTAACTTAGCTTCTACAGTAGCTGCTACTAATTGTGGTTTTCAAAAAACAAAGTGTCACATATTTGTTACTTGTTCCAATAGAAAGATGAAACATGGCTTCTCTGATTCATTTTCTTTTTACCCCTTTGGTCACTGCAGGCAGGCGTGGGCTTTGGTTTCTGTGGTTGGCGGTGGCAACGAGTCGTGCTCGGAGGATGTGAGGGAACACGAAAACCTTAACACAGGTGGAAGAGCTCTTGCAAGTCGCAGTTTCACCACTGTGGAGGGAGTGAACTTCTCAGTGTCGGCCTACAGCGAGTGGAAGAATGGTGAGAGCCAGCTGTTACTAGGACATGAATTCAAACCAGAACATGTCTTAAAAATGTGATTATGGGTCTGTAGCCAAGTGTTTATCTTTCTGCAGATGTATTTAATAATGATGCCAACTATTTCTGTATAGATTGCTCCATTTATCTCAGTGGATGCTGAATAACTTGGATGCCAGGATTTGAGTAATGGTAATTTAACCACAGTTGTTATGGAAACTCTAGTCTCTGGAATGTGATTTTCTTTCCCTCCGAGCTTATTTTCATTTCCTTTTATTGTATCATATGTCAGGGAAAAAATGCAGATGAGTAGATTTCTACATCTTTCCCATCCTCTCAGCTTTGAATGCCTTTTTATTAACATATGTTATAAAATCCAGCTGTAAAGATAAAAATCTATGCTAACATGGTTATATAGTGTGAATTTGGAAGTTTGCTTTTTATTTTATTTAATAAACATAGATTTTTTTCTTTTTATATTATTTACAAACCCTTTACTTATATAAATATATATAATAAATATATATATATATATATAACTCCACAAACTATTTAACACCTTTTGAAATACAGATTGAAATTTGATTAAACACGTTAAAAGTCAAAGATGATGAATCATTTTGCAAGGCACTGTAGGTGGCTATCTTTATTAGTTTTGTTGGATTTAATTTGGAGGTTTCAGCATAAAGGGGGGCTTAATATGAAGCCCTCCTTCAGTACTTCTTTTGTTCTTAAAAGCTTTAAATATGACACAAAATCACATTAAAAACAACCAAATGTCTGTAACTGAAAAAACGTAATAATTATAAACAGATTTTTGAATATATCTTGTTTAAGCGATTGCATGTATTGACTTTTTGCTATATTTTAAATTGTTGATATTTTTTGTTAATCTTTGTTTTTGTTCCAAAATTAGATGAAATATTTAGGTTTTACTTTCTCAAAAATGTGCATCAGTTTGAGTCTTCAGTAAAGTGAAACTCCATCCAACTGACCAGATGTATTACTGACTTCCAAAGTTGGAAATCATGATCCTTCAAATGCATCCAAGCATATTTTGGTTGTTTTCCTCCTCACAATAATATGGCTCTGGCGATGAATATTCAATCTATCTTGTATGGCTCTAATTCTAACTCTTGTTCCCTGTTCCAGGCTACCCCATCATGGGCTTCCTGGTAGACGCTGCAGACCAGGTGGTGCTTAACCTCCAAGATGAAGTCCAGCAGACCTGGAAACCAGGTGATAATATTGTGGTGGCCAGTACAGACTACTCTATGCACCAAGCTGAAGAGTTCACCCTGCTACCCTGCCCTCAGTGTACCAGCAGGCAGGTCAGGATACAAGGTGAGTCATAAGGCAGCACTGTTTGTTTCTGCAGATGTTATTAGGCTTCACTTGGTGTTAGTTAAGCATTTATGCGCTGTAGTGCTGCTCTTATATTCATGTTTATTCCAGGGTAATTGGTTAGAAAACGTGCAGGTGTAGCTTAAATAATCAAAGATGTAATAAGTGGTTTAGAGTCAAAATAAAGCGACACAGAAGATAATGCTCCTCCGTGATGTCTATAAATGAGATTAGTAAATGTCACTCTGTTAATCAACAGTTACAATAAGATCTCATTCCTTTTACAGCCGTTCCTGTGATGTAAGGTTCTTGGAAGCTGAAGAGATTATGAGCTTACACGCTATTGGACTTTTTATCTCCCGATAACAGCAGGGATTTTAAGAATCTGGATACATTTCCTCTCTTTTAATGCTTCCCTGCCTTCGTGCCTCTGTCAGAAATGCCTCCTAATCTCATTCCTCCAGTCAATGAACATCAACTCCCTTTTGGGAGAGGAAGGGTGTAGGCAAGGGTGTAAGCAATATCTGATTGCTTGAAGGAAAGACTTAACAAGTTTTGCAGGGGCTAAATATGACTATTTACAGCTGTAATATTTGAGCTTTCTGCTTTGTTAAAGAACTGGCTATTTGAGGTTCTCTGTGTATTTCATTATTTCTAGATATTGGTATAAGAATGTAGAGTGGTAGCAGCCAAAAAGCTTCCTACCACTGACAGAATGGGTTTGATTTTATTGTAAATTAAACTAGGAAGCTGTTACTAATCCATTGAGATGTGGATTTTATTTATTTTTTGGATTTGACTCCCCTAGCTTTCGGATACCAATTTGGTATTTACTGTAAAAATGTATGTGCTATTCAGGGAAGCCTCGGTACAATCATGTTGGTGAGATCATCGATGGAGTCGACATGCGAGCTGAGGTGGCTCTGCTCTCCAGGAACATTCTCATCTACGGAGAAATGGAAAGCTCTTGCTATGGAGACAACCTGTGCCAGTTCTTCAACCACGACACCTTTGGAGGTCACATCAAGGTTTGTCTGTGTGTTTGATTTTTATAACATGAGCTTATACTGAACTATGTTTTTTGTTGTACAAGACCAGTAGACTTATTATTAGAAACCCATTATTAATAGACATCTAAGTGTAGGCGGGAATATTTAGTCAAGATTGCTAAATTTATCAAAGCCAGTGGGCTGGGATTGTACTGAAAGCATAGCGTCACAACTGCAGCTTTGAAGGAACCGGAGTGCGGTGATGTAAAAGTTCCTCTTTGCTGCTTCAAAGACATCCTGTCAGCATTGTGATTCTAAGAGTTGACTTCTTAGATAAGGGGTGGGGCTTCTGGTTGAGACTAAAATTCCCCATAATGCTGAACAAGCCTCTTTTTTTTTTTTTTTTTGCTGTTTGTCATCACATCCAGGAAGCACCCCTTCTCTTTTAAGCCTGTTTGGTTTACATATTCAGTGATACTGCGGGATAAAAGAAAAAATGTTAGAAGAAAATTAGTGTCATTTATCGACTTATAATTTTGCCTAGAGTAGGAGGCCTTAAATCTAGATGCCAAAGACTGAAACTGATGTAAAATACAGCAGGCTTCCAGTAACATAGGACTGTTAACAATTGTCAGTATATACATTTGTTTTGTACAATTTACCTTAGAGGGAACTGGCCTTAAAAAACCTTTGAGGAAAACCACAGCTATAGAAAATGTGACTGCATTAAATACTCAACTCTAAAAATGTCATCACCACTTTTTCTGCTTCATTGACCTTTTTATTCAAATATATGTATATTCTATAAAGTTTGACCATTCATTTTATCCGCTTCAGCTCATAAACACACACAGTTAAAAAACAAACATGAACGCAGATACAGGCATGCATGCACATACATAAACCTCCTATCCCGCGAACCTGATCAAATGTTTTATAGTAAAGTAAAAAATTTGAATCAACAAATGTTAAAAAAATGTTTGGTGTTCTGTTTTCTATAAATGGGGGCAGTTGCAACAGCTGTTGCTTCAGTCCTCCTTCCTGTCAGCCATGATAAAACCTCATATTTCAGCTAAACTAGGTGATCTTGATGCATATAAATCATATGAAATAAAGTAAACTCACCATGTAGCCTTGAGTTAAATAGCCAAAACATTGACTACCATATAACAAAAAATAAATCTGCTTGTTTTACTTCGGAAGCGGAGTCATTCAGCTTTGCTTATGCAGTATATGTTTCAATACTTTTTGGTTTATTTATCTCTGTTTTTTGTGACTGTTAAGATTTTACAAATTGTTGGTTTGTGTAAAATACGTCTAGGAAGCAATTTGGTTGTTTTAGGCATGAAGGATCTGAGAAAAACAAAGCCACTAGTAGGGCAGGAATCCCTATGGGATTTATTCTAATGATATTGTAACTTCAAAGAAAGGAGAAAATAAACTCAATCCTTTACATTTTTTAGTAGTTTTATTTTTCTTGGAGGCAGTAATTTTCTATTTTTGACAAAATAATTGGTAAGTTTTTCAAAGAGCTTGTTTTTCAAATGCCAACAAAACATTTGCTTATTGCAAAAAAAAAAAAAAAAAACATTTTTTATTTTTCACTGTTTCTGATGGCGGTAGATATATCCAAATGAAAGCACGAAATCTGCAAAAATTGAACTTTGCTTATTAATCTCAAATTATAAATTTGATCAAATATTTCCCGTAGGCTATATAAAAAAAAAAATCTGTAAAAAATTTGTTTAGAAATGGCAGATTTTGATAAGTTTAATACTTTTCAAATGCTACTAATGGAGTTTGGTGAAGGTGTACAAATGCAGCATGTGCTGGTCTTGCCATGGCCTGAGGAAACATTTGCAGAGCACGCCATTTGGTGTGAACGTGTATTTGTGGAAGTCCTATGAGGGGGGGGGCTCAGTTCGCTATAAAGATTGGCCAATACTTCCTTAACAAGAACCAGACTCTGGAATGTCTATAGACAGAAGACCCCCCTGTGAGCCTAATACACAACATTAGCTCCATGCTTAGTTGTTTGATGCATTTCTCAAAATGTGTTTTTTGTTTTGATTCATGCATCCGTCATCAATGCCTCTTTTTCACAGATATATACAGTGGTGTGAAAAAGTGTTTGCCCCTTTCCTCATTTCCTGTTTATTTGCATGTTTGTCACACTTAAGTGTTTCGGAACATCAAACCAATTTAAACAATAGTCAAGGACAACACAAGTAAACACAAAATGCAATTTGTAAATGAAGGTGTTTATTTTTAAAGGAGAAAAAAAATCCAAACCATCATGGCCCCGTGTGAAAAAGTGATTGCCCCCTAAACCCAAACCCACCCTTAGCAGCAACAACTGTAACCCAGCGTTTGCGATAACTTGCACTGAGTCTTTTATAGCGTTCTGGAGGAATTTTGGCCCATTCATCTTTGCAGAATTGTTCTAATTCAGTTACATTAGAGGGTTATCGAACATGAACGGCCTTTTTAAGGTCATACCACAATATCTCAATAGGATTCAGGTCAGGACTTTGGCTAGGCCACCGCAAAGTCTTCATTTTGTTTTTTTCAGCCATTCAGTGGGGAATTGCTTTTGTGTTTAGGATCATTGTCCTGCTGCAGAACCCAAGTTCGTTTCAGCTTGAGTTCACAAACAGATGGACGGACATTCTCCTTCAGGATCTTTTGGTAGACAGCAGAATTCATAGTTCCATTTATCACAGCAGGTCTTCCAGGTCCAGACGCAGCAACACAGCCCCAGATTGTCACACTACCACCACCATATTTTACTGTTGGTATAATGTTCTTTTTCTGAAATGCAGTGTTCCTTTTACGCCAGATGTAATGGGACACACACCTTCCAAAGAGTTCCACTTTTGTCTTATGAATCCCCAGAATGTTTTCCCAAAGGTCTCGGGAAAAGAGATGTGTTTTTGAAAAATTGAGACGACCTTTAATGTTCTTTTTGCTCAGCATTGGTTTTCTTCTTGGAACTCTGCCATGCAGGCCATTTTTGCCCAGTCTTTTTCTGATGGTGGAGGCATGAACGCTGACCTTAACTGAGGCAACTGAGGCCTGCAGTTCTTTGGACGTTGTTGTGGGGTCTTTTGTGACCTCTTGGATGAGTCGTTGCTGCGCTCTTGGGGTAATTTGGACGGCCGGCCACTCCTGGTAACGTTCGCCACTGTTCCATGTCTTCGCCATTTGTGGATAATGGCTCTCACTGTGGTTCGCTGGATTCCCAAAGCTTTGGAAATGGCTTTATGACCCTTTCCAGACTGATAGATATTAATTACTTTCTTTCTCAATTGTTCCTGAATTTCTTTGGATCTCGGCATGATGGGAACCTTTTAAGGATCTTTTGGTGGACTTTGCTGAGTCAGGCAGCTTCTATTTAAGTGATGTCTTGATTGAAAACAGGTGTGGCAATAATAAGGCCTGGGTGTGGCTAGAGAAATTTCACTCAGGTGTTAAAAACCACAGTTATAGTATATTTTAACGAGGGGGCAATCACTTTTTCACACAGGGCCATGATGGTTTGGATTTTTTTCTCCTTTAATAATAAACACCTTTATTTACACATTGCATTTTGTGTTTACTTGTGTTGTCCTTGACTATTGTTTAAATTGGTTTGATGTTCCGTAACACTTAAGTGTGACAAACATGCAAATAAACAGGAAATGAGGAAGGGGGAAAACACTTTTTCACACCATTGCATAGATATATATTTTTTTGTCAGTTCTGCATGGAGTATGGGGTACGTCTTGTTCAAGTCAAAATGTAAAAACCAACAAAAACAAAACAAAGAACTACTTAGATTAGTCAGCTTTTTTTGCTATGAGTTAATACTGATGGTTGAAGATATGAAATGATGTTTTTGTTGCATCTCTTCAGCTTATCTTGTGCTCTGCTTTTACCTCCAACCCAGATCCTTCGTAACTTCTCATCGGTGCATCTGTCCCATGTGGAGTTAAAAAACATGGGCCAGCAACGAGTAAGAGGCAGCTACCCGCTTCACTTTCACATGTGTGGGGATGTTGACCAGAAGGGTGGCTACAGGGAGCCGACGTATGTGGATGGAGTTTCCATTCACCACTCCTTCTCCCGCTGCCTCACCATCCACACCACCAACGGGCTGCTGGTCAGTTAAATAACTGGATAGCAAAATTTGCTTATGGCTCCATGATTTTATCTATGAGAATAAATTATATTTTGCTGTTTAGTTCTGAATACTCTGCTATGTATTTGGCAGCTATTTGATTACAGTTACTTGGTAAAGGGTTAATGCATTTCCACATTATCACTTTACAGGAATGAAGTAGGGAAATTTGGGGGTTTTATATAATGAAGTAAAACAAAGAGGCCGTTAATGGTAAAATGAAAGTAACAGGATGCATTGATTTATTTATTTATTTTTTTATATACAGTTTAGCTATTTTCACTATGAACTTTCAAAAAAGTAAAAAAAAAAAAAAAAAAAAACTACTGGACTTTGTTTTCCAAGTTTGAAGATGTTTCGCTTCCAATCCAGGAAGCTTTTTCAATTAAAGATGTCTGGATTAGCCTTGAGTTCCAGGTGTTATAGAGTAGCCCAACAAAGCCTTGTTGTGGCTTAAAAAAATGCAACTTCAACCGGAAGAACAGGTCCACCCTTTAGTAATGGGGAGTCCCTTTCATAGCGATGGAGTTTGACATGATAGCTTTGTTGGGATACTCTATAAAGCGTGGAACTAAACGCTAATCCAGACATTTTAAATGGAAAAATCTTCCTTGATTGGAAGTGAAACGTCTTCAAACTTGGAAAACAAAGTCCAGCGGGTTTTTTTTCTCCAACTTTTTTAACTTTTCTGGAATGACTATGACCTGGATGACTGAGAATCTTAACCAGCACATTGAGATGTTAACACTTTAAGTTTAATGTAATTACTTAGTTATTTCATAAGTAATTAGAGTTTATTACTGTGTTATTTAGCATTTAACACATCATCTTATGGAGCAGGTTGGTGGCAGCATGATGCTGGAGCTTTCATTTACTTCAATAGTGAAATGGAAATTGTTCTAAGTGGCTGGAAAGAAATCAGTTTTAGAGGAAGCAAAACATTTTGGTCTGCAGTTCACCATCTAGAACAGCGACTTTAAACAAACCACAGAGCCACTATTTAAGAGTTTAGATGAGGCATATTCATGTGTTAGAATGATCCAAAGTCCAGACCCGAGAATCTTTGGTAAGTCTAGAAAATAGGCTTTTCATAAATGTATTTGATCCAGTCTTAACTTGAGCTTCTTTGCAAGACGAATACATAAAATAACCAAGTGTAGTTTTGGAAAAATGTAAAAAAAAATCCTCACAAAAACAGTTAAGAAGATCTACTTACAAAAGTATTTATTTGACTGGGGAAAAGAAAATCTGGGTCATACTTTTCTTCGTTTATTTGTAAAATGTTCTTAAATTACAATCCCATTGTTGTGATGTTTCAGGCAATCTTCCCTTTTCTGTCTAATTTGTTACTTTAGTTTTAAAGCAGAGAATTGGGGAATTTAAAATTGCTGTTTATATCATTTCAATATTGTTCTTCTTGGGTTTTTATGAGAAAAAATATTCATGGTGATTAGTTATCTGGGGGGGGCTCCTAATTGAAGCATTCCTGACTTAATTGGGGAAATTGGTTTCAAATCAGGGATAACATTTGCAGGATTATTCTTTTCCTATGTTCCTCTTCACATGGGAACCTAAAGGTAGATTCTCTGTATTTTCACTTTGCTTTCGCTTCAGTAACAATTTGTTCAGACATTTGGAGAATTTATGCCAGCAGGCACAATTTAGCTCTTGCGGACCTCGCTGTACTTTCCTGTGGGGGTGATGAAAGCAGATGTTGCCCTTGATGTTATGTTTACCAAAATGGGTTCCACATTTGTCTGAAAAGCACCTTTTAATGGGGACTCTGACCATCAATTAAGTCTCTCCCGTGACAAAAACTCTGCTGAAACTGTTTTGTGATCTTTTTTTTTTTCGTCTGGTCTAGGTGCAGAACACAGTGGGGTATGATACGTTGGGTCACTGTTTTTTCCTGGAGGACGGAATTGAACAGCGGAACACTTTCTACCACAACCTTGGCCTCCTGACTCAGCCTGGGACTCTGCTGCCAACAGACCGCAATGAGACTCTGTGCACCAGTATCAGGGATAAAGTCTACAAGGGCTACACTCCTTCACCAAGTACAGAGTGCAAGTAAGAGATTCTAACTTTGGGTTTTGCTCTTTAAAGATATGAGAAGAGACAACAAATACAGAACTTTCTGATCTGTTATCGGAGAGATATCCTTTGTTGTTTAGTTGCATGTCATAACTTGATATGAATACAGTGTGGACATGTCTTCCCTTTATTTCTCTGTTGGATCAGATCTTGCCCGTACGGAAACCATGATTAACATTCGCAAAGAGAAGGAAACAATTTCTACACCTTGAACTTTTTCATGTCTTGTGGCAATCAAACCCCAAACTTTAAAGCATTTTATTGTTGATCTATGTTATGAGCTATAAGAGGAGACACTCAAAATTGTTTGGAAGAAAGGGATAAATGGCTTTTAGGACATTTTATTTAAAAAAGCTGAAAAGTGTGGCATGCTTTTGGATTCAGGCCAAATTAGCCTTTTTTGATAATTTTCTTAGCAAAAATGTTTTTAGCACAGTTCCATAGGTTGGATGTGTGTTCAGCTTCAACCAACTCTCTGCTTTTAGCTAATTATTTCACCTGAGTTCTAAATACCTGAAAATGGTTGGTTAAACTGGACTTAATTTAAATACAAATGCATGTCACTCTTCTCAGACTTTTTATTTTGGAAAAAAACTCTCTTCCAATTAATCTATTTACTACTCTTTTTTTGGTTTGTTATGTAACCCCCTATAAAATATAGTTACATTTATGGTAGCGAAGTTGGATATGAAACCGTTTACAAGGTGTTTTTTATTATAAATAAATCCCTCTTTTAACATTGTCATATTCATCAGTAAGACTGTATTTAGATTTTTCTGAAAAGGAAATAAACAATTTTTTATATATTTTTTTTTTTACTTCATAACGGTGAGTTTAGAGTAAAATCTGTGATCCTTCAGTCAGTGTCACTCAAAAACCGGGCAGGAAGGTGCAGACATCTTTGAGAGAAAACAGATGTTTTTATGAGATCAGGAATGGGTGTTTTCAGTAAAAGTTGGAAGAGGCAGATACTGCTGGGATGATTTTATCAAAGGAATAACGAACTCCTCTCTCTGGGGGTTTTATATCATAACAGGAACTAGAAAATTCTCTCTGTGTGGAAAGAGAAAGACCTGTCTACAGGAATCTCGTCTTGGGTATTGTGAGTCTTGGCAGAGCCAGTGTTTCCATGGCTGATGTTGGAGTGCTGGTTTATTGAGAGACTTTAAAACAGACTGCAAGATTCTTTGGAACTCATAAGCATATGGACTGAGATCAGCGTCTTCTATTCCTTTAGCATCCTTGCATGTGTATCATTGTGTTGTTGTGTGTGTGTGTGTTTTCTTTTTAGGGCAGTCTCAACATTCTGGATCGCCAACCCCAACAACAACCTGATCAGCAATGCAGCTGCTGGCTCTCAGGTAACAACAACAGATTTAACTTTGCAGTTAGATGGGCGTTGTGAAATAATTAAAAAGCACCAGGAAAAAAAACAAGTAATCAAAATGTGTTTATTTTACAAATCCCCATAAATAAAAAGAAAATGCTTCTCATCAATCCCTAATCCATTGACTTTTGTGTTTCTGAACTTTAATAGGACAGAAAATTAAAGATTATTTTGCTCATAACTGGGTGATCCTTCAATGAATCAGGGCTTAAAGAGCAATAGACTAAAGCATTAACTTTGTAAGGCAGCTCATATATGAAAGTATAGCATATAAAGAGGATGCCAGTCTTTATTTGTTTTTTTTTTATTGTGTTGCCAGTTTTATTTGCGGTGCAAACTTTAAACCCTTAAATGCAGCTTTTATTACTGTGGCATGAAAACAGCCCAAGAATGCCCCACTCCAAGTATCTCATTGTCTGTATGTTTCTGCTGCTGCCTGCAGAATGGTTCCCAGTAGTCATATAAACATAGTAATTATCACCTTTTTCTCTGCTCTTCCTTCCCATCCCAGGACGCTGGAATATGGTTTGTGTTCCACAGCTCTTCCACTGGAGACTCTCATGGGCTTGTACCAGAGACCAAGGCAGAGCTCACTCCTCTTGGGATTTTTTATAACAACCGTGTGCACTCTAACTTCAAGGTACTTCTGGTATTTCTTGCCCTGCTCACACTTTATTGTGAGGCAGGCAAGCAAACCTCCAGCTCTATTTCTGCTTCTGTTTCATAGAAAAAAGAGAAAATCCCATATTTATAGTCAATAAACGTAATTCTTTCCATAAAAACCTGCTTGTTGCCAAACTATGTGCACTGGAACACACGTGGATACCTACAGACATGTGAAGAGTGCTACAATGGGCCTCTGTTGTGTGATGACAGAAGTCAGGCAGGTGAACTGTGAGCTCTTTATCCAGGCTGACCACAGCAGCCTCCAATAGAGGAAGGAGCCCTGCGGTTAAAGAGCAAACCTCTCTTCATTCAGCTCACAGCATAACTTTCAATATGCATAAGACACCCTGTTATAAACTGCATTTGTCATATGTTATGATTTTTTTTTTTCAATAAAAAAAAAAAAAAGATTAAAACAGTATAGCTTATCAATGGAAGTTGTTTTGGCCTCTATTACTAGTCCTTAACTGAAGTTTCAGGAAAAAACGATCATGTTATTACTGTGATCTTCTTAGGCAGGGCTGTTCATTGATAAAGGAGTGAAGACTACGAATGCCAGCGCTGCTGATCCCCGGGAATTCCTCTGTCTAGACAACAGTGCAAGGTGTGTATGTCTGGGTGAGAGCATTATCGATGCTTTTTGGTTTTGACTGCAAGATAAATTAATTAACAGATTGTTTTTTAAAATGTGCACTGACAGCAATTCATGGAAGATTTCTAATCATTGTATGTACCTACCATTACCAATAAAAAATGAAAGAACTTCAAGAACTACAGTATAAGCTAATAGAGTATTAACAGTGTTTATTTTTATTTACATTAGGGGCAGAGGTGATGTTTTGATGTTGGTTTTAGTGATATACGTTAAACAGGTTCTTACTATTTAAGGATAAAAAAACAGCAAAGTAAATGCATCTAATGCTGGCGGTTAGTGTTATTTTTATGTCCAAGATTTCAAAATGGCTGACTATGATCATTTATTTGGGAAATGATAGAGTTTTACTTTTACCCAGACATTTCTAAAAAGGGTGCCTAAATTAGCATGATGCATGAGTCACACATGTTCAATGTTTGACTCTCTTTTAGCCTTCCTGTTACCCGCTGAAGTGCAACTCTCTCTCTTTCAGTTTCTGTGTTTTCATTATTAATGAGCAAAAATTCTGTCAATTTTCTGTTAATGTAAAAAGAAAAATCACAAATTTTCAAATGCTGTTTCCAAAAAAATAAAAAAATGCAATTAAATCACATAGGAATAAATGTGTTTATGCAGCAACTCCTGATCATCCTCCTACTACTTCCTGTCATCTTCCCATTCTTTTTCACTGGTGGTAACATCGGGTTGATGATCATTTGACTCCTGTTATGTGAAGAAAGTGATTCCATTGAAGTTTTGTGAAAAATTGCTATTTTAATACAGCTACCCTCAAAAAACTCAGCTTTTGTTTATTTAATTTATGCGTTTCCTTTAAGATAATTCATTTTAATACAAAGTTGTCCAGTTAGATGGTCAATGGAAATGCAGCATCCCTCTCACTGGTCTCAATAAATCTTAGACATGTCTATTCAATAGCATCAGAAACAAGCTCCAAATTAGGCTCTTGTTGTTGGTACTACTGGGTGGAGATTGAGGTGTTGCATTCACTGATCAGAAAAATGCTGTTTTTTTTAAGCTTTCTTTTGGCCAAGCTGATCCAGATTCTGGTCACCTGCTATTTTACAGAACATCTCAAGTTTTCTTGTTGTTAATCAATGTAAACAGAAAAAAATGTGGCCACATTGGTTATTTATTTTAAAGTCTTGATTAATTGGTTGAATGTTCCACGGACTCTGTATATAAACACATAACTTATAAATGTGCACTGTTGAATCGTCTGCGGCGTGTTATCACATGCATCAAGATGTTTAATTACACTGTGTAAACATGAAGGAATGTGCGGTTTACTAACATATTTGTTTAATGCCAGAGCTAATTAATGGTCATGAACAAAGTTATCGGTAGTACTCTGATGGAGACGCACCGGGACACGGCCGTCGACTGAGAAAGATAGGTGTACGGTTTTATAGTGTGTTGGTGCATTTTAGTGGGATTCCTGTCAGGTTTGTGTTGACAGAGAAAACAAGGCTTTACAGATGGAGTTTCCACTCTGCTACCTATCCAAATACAGCCCCCAACTGGATGGGAGAAAAATCTGATGTGTCCTCTGAGACTGCTGGCTGCTGCTCTCAAATACATTCACATGGCATGTGTGCAGGAGTGTGCCGAGGTTTTTAAATGTTAGAAAGGGAAACCCTTTTTTTTACTGTTAAATAATGAAAGAGAGAAATGGGTAGAGAGGGAGAAAGCTCCAACAATATTATCTTTATTATTGGTTATGATCTTTTCTTTTCTCTGTCAGATTTCGACCCCACCAGAATGCTGACCCCAGTCAACCTCGAGTGGCCGCAGTCATTGACTCTCTGATCTCATTCAAGAACAATGACTTAGGAGCATGGATACGAGGGGGAGACATTATCATCCAGAACTCTGGGTGAGACAAATCTACGACTCTTTAACATGTTTGAAAGACGAAAATAAACCGATGATCTGAGGTTTCCCGCATGCACAAGAAAAAAAGTATTATGTCTAGGATGAAGGTTTTTGCTGGAACTACTATGTAAATGATTTTATTCCGTTCTACATTTTATTTAAGACACATTTATTTCGGGTTCACACAGATCCCTCTGAAATCTGATATTCTCTTTCAGACATTCTTCTCAGGAATATAACATTTTACAGTCATTAGTGGAAACTTTGTCAATTTAACGATTAATAAACTAAATATGGACCATGGCGTGTGAAAATGTGCTCTGGGTTCCTTTTTTGAATCTAATGAATAAATAAGAAAATGCAAGATCATCGTGTTTTAAGAATCAAAGCATCTGATCCAAACCTTCATTTTCACTTAATTTAAAACATGCTGTTTGTCGAAGGAGGTCTAATTCTTTTTTAGCAACAGGATTGGCCTATTCTTTTAGCTGAATTGTTTAGAATCAGGTTCACTGAATCATCTCAGTTGGGTTTTACTCTGGTAAAGATATATGGATCCAAGCCCTGAACCAGCAAAGCAGTCCCAGACCATTACTCTACCATCACCATGTTTGACTCTTGCTGTGATTTTCTGCTTCTGAACGACTGTTAGAGCAAAACCAGATATAACTGGATAAACACTCTCCAAGAAATCCCTCTTCTTCCTTATTAGTTCTTTAATTTTTCACCAATGTCTTTATCGCTGTCTAGATGTGGGATTTGGGATTCATTGCAGTGATTTTTGACCTTTAATACTCTTGGAGATTAATCTAATTTTCACTCAGTTGTTTCATCATTGTTGAGTCTTGAACACTGAGCTTAGATGGGCAAAGTGTTCCTTCAGTGCTTCAATTTGGTTCTGGTTCTAAGGTTCTAACCCTGGGCTGCATGGCATTAGAAACCTTGCAAAAGTAATAACTATTGTAAATTGCTATATTTATATAATTCGATTAATGTGCCTAATTTTAATTTTTCTCATGTCTGCCCTTTAGTTCAGTTTCACTTTTTAGTTTAGTTTTTTGAGCAATGTCGATCATCTTCTACTGGGAGTCTTGTTGCAACTAACAAAATATTGCAGAAGAATGTAAAATGCAAGTTTGTAACTCTGGGATGTGTTGGCTATCCATTATTTCAGTTCTTTGTGATATAAAAACATTATATTAGAAAGGTCCACAGCTTTAACTGTGGTTCTCTGCAATCCCAAATGACAGTCCTTTTTAAATCAGGAAATGTTACTTTTTTTATTTATGTAGATTATTGATTCTGTAGATATCAGGCCTGAGTGTCAGTAAAACTGAATCACTACATATGATTGATTTCAGTAACTTATGCTTTAAAGGGGTTAGCTTCTTTTTCATTTATGGTAGTTTTGGTTTTCCGTCAATAAAAGATCAATATAGTAACGAACAAGGTGCAGGACTTTACTTTTTTTTATTTCAGGTGATTATTCTGAGAATCTATATATTTTATGGAATAGTTAAAGGTGTTTTTTTTTTATGTTAAATATTGTTCTACCTTCTGTTCTTTATTTCTGAAAACTCCAAAATGTACCCTGTCTACTCGATGTGTAGCTTTTTTTACAGCATTTTTTTCTGCATTTTTTGCAGCTTTGCAGACAATGGAGTGGGACTGTCTTTTGCCAGGTTTGTTATGAATTATTTCATTTTTTTCCTGTACGTTTCCAGATAATTTTCCTAATTTTTGCCATTTTAATCATTTACAGGTAATTATGTTTGCAGATATCTCTTTTTCTTGTTCTTCTTTATAATCTTTTTTGTTTAGAGTATAATTTGCAAGCATGTTTGAATACATCACATAATACTGCGTACTCTCTGCAGTGATGGCAGCTACCCTAAGGATGAAGGGTCCAGCCAGGAGGTGACACAGTCCCTGTTTGTTGGGGAGAGCCGAAACAGAGGCACCAACGGAGGACAGAATAAATACTGGGGGATGGGAGGAACTGACGGAAAGATGCGGACACTGCCAAGAAACAAGTAAGGTTAAGAAAAATGGGGATTAATGAAGGTAGGAGCAGGATGGTATTGAATGGGAAAACTCCTGCAGAGGCAGTCAGGCAGTCAGGTAGCTGGTAGGGTTGACTCATGTGTGCCACAGCCACTCTTCACTGTAGATCAACTTGTGAAAAGAAGTTCTGTTTGACTCATTTCCTTCTCATGATATTTTCGGCAGTTTATGAAAAGTGTGGTAACTTTTAGAACAGTTAGACTTTCTCTTAAAGACAGAATTGTATTAGAGATTAACTCCTGGTCAGTGTGTTTTCTGCATGAAAAGAGTTTATATAGCAGCTTCTTTAAGCACAGACTGCACCTTTAATTAAACCTGCATTGCAATTGTTTACTTGTGACAAATTTGGATCAAATTAATAATTTATGTAACTTAAGAGCACATTACTTTTTATAACTCTCTGTTCTTAGGATACAGAAGAACCTAATGTTCAAAAATATGTTTTTAGTTATTGGGCAAAACTGTAAATGTTTTCTGTTTGTTTAGGACATAAAGGAAATCTGTCTCCTCTTAAAGAAGAGGAGACAGATTTTTAAAGGATTCTTTAATTGTTTTAATTTACAACAAATGGTTTCTGTATTGTTTTAAAAATTTAAAGAAGTCTTGGAATTGCTAAAATGAGTAACCCTTAAATAGTCTGAACACAGGTCTTTTTTTTGTGCCAGATCTTTGATACGTTTAATCCTCTTAAATGTCCACATTTGGTTATTATAACTATTACTAATAGTGCATGCTCCTATTTTCTTTTTAAAAATGCCCTTGCCCTTTCATTTGCTCCTTGACATATAGCTTTGGTTGCTATGATACCGTGACAAATTGACAAATCCTGTAATGCTGAGAAGTGCTGAGCCTCGGCAAAAGGAATTTGTCTGAAGCTTTAAGCTTTACTGGCAAAACCTGCAAAAGAGTTGTGTTTCTGAAACGACTTAACAGCTTAAAAAGGTATTTTTATGAATTGTAATCCAAATGTTCAGTAAGTGCTATTCACCACCAGCTTCTCCATCATTAGAAATAATTCTCAAAAAATGTTTAGGGCTCTAAATAGCTGGAAGCTGCTGTCAGTATCTGACGAAGCGTATGAATCGTTGGAAGGAACTGATTTGGTATGATTACGTAGCATAATGCTTACTTAAGTTATCATTTCATTATTTTCATTTTAAAGGTTTATTCTTATCTTAAATCTAACTAGAAATTAAAATTGAAGCTTTAATCTTTTCCATCTTTATATGGTTTGTCCCTGTCGATGTCCGCCTTAGGACTTTCCCAATCCGAGGTTTCCAGATCTATGACGGTCCAGTGCGTGTTACCCAGAGTACGTTTCGAGGTTTCATCCCTACACTGGAGCGCTACACCAGTGCAGTTGGCTTCAACTTGAAGAACACCTGGCAGCTGACCCCACGAAACAACCTGTCCCAGCTCAGCTTCCACCCTAATGTAAGAAGATAGTATTGTTTAAACTGAACTGAGAAACTTTTTACTCTTGGCTGCTTCAGTTTTCTTCTCATCTTGCATGTCTTGTTTAGTTGGACGGCAGTGTCTGGTAGCTTTGCATTGTCTTATTATTCCTAATATGCATGTCATAAAAGATTATAATGCTCAACTTTTTACCCTTTTTCTTTCTGGGAAACAAAAAGAAATCATTTGACTCCCAATAAAACCCATTGTATCATTTTGTTTTTCGTTAGTGTAGTTTATAGCTGTAATATGAAAAGAAAAAGTATAAATTCTGTGCCTATAGTAAAGTAATGGCGCTTTACCACTGCATTTTTAATCTTATGAGAGAATGGAGACTGGATCTCTTTTCATCATTCATTCTGGAATCTTCCTTTTGTTTTCTTTATTGTAGTCCTTTGCAATTTACAGATCTTAAAATTAAAATAGTAGAGATTTGGAACTACTTAATCTGTGAAAAAAACAATAGTGAAACACTGCTGGCCTCTTCTGGTTGCATTGCGTATTGCAGCAGAACATCATTTGGTGTCCGTTGCTCCATTTATTTAAACTCTTGAAAACAAATAAATACATAAATTAGAAACCATCAAAAATTAAACAAAGGCTGAAAGAAACTACACAATTAGAAAACTAAAATGGAATATAAGCTATTTTTTTCTTTTGTTTTATGTGATAATTATTCCAGACTCAAAGACATTAGCACAAATTTGTTTCTCTTAAATTTTGTGTAACATTGTTCAGTCATTTAAAAGGTTTAGATTGAGGTATTATTTGTATCTTTAAGGCAGGGAAAATTCCTTTATGTAGCACATCTCCCTAGTAGGACTGTTCAAGTGTACATCATAGCAAAACACAAAAGGTGCATAGGGGAATAATTGGAAGATGATTCAAGAAGAATAAAGTGATTGATAATCACTTTAATGAAATGATTATCATCACAAATTAAAGAAAGTTTCACTTCAAATTAAAAACAAAAAACAACTAAGCTTTTAATCTTTATTTAAAGCAACTTAAAAGAATGTGAAACCAAAACAGGAAATAAAATTCGGCCAGATGCCTCGTTAGGATGGAGAACTGCGCTGACGTGTGCAACGAAGCCATTAGGTACCTTTTACATCTCTTCTCACTAATATTTTCCTCAGGTGGCTCTTCGAGTGTTCTTCGGTCGTCCTGGACAGTGGTTCGATGAAAACGACCTGGATGGGGACAAGAACTCAATCTTTCATGACTTGGACGGGTCAGTAACTGGTTACAGAGATGCGTATGTCGGCAGAGCAGACAATTATCTAATCCAGCATCCCGACTGTCAGAAAATTCCCCGGTGGAATGGAGTCATCTGCAGCGGGCGCTATTCTCAGGTGCTGCATGGCAGGATCTGCGTGGTTCCCTCTTTCTCTTTATCTCCTTCTGGTTTTTACTCAACAAAGCTTCTTCCTTCAGGTCTACATTCAAACATGGGGAGCCCCCAGCCTGAGTTTGTCTATCAACAGAGATGAATACCCTGACGCACCTCTGGTGCTGAGAGGGATTAACAGCCAGGGGGCGTCATCTCAACAATACCAGCCTATCCTGATGATGAGCAAGAGCTACACTATGCACTGGAATGGACCTGCGCCCAGAGAGGTCGTCCTCTCTCTCATCAATTTTGATAGGCGAGTAGATCTCATGTTTGGAACAAATGATCTTTGGTTGTTAGATTTTCATAATGTCATAATACAGCAGCCTGAAAGTATCTATAGACTTGAACTTGAACAATCCTAAACACTAAAGTATGTTTGGATGGAATTTATTTGATAAACCACGGTGGAAAAAAGGCATGATTATAAAGTGAAGGAAAAATTGTCCATGGCTTTTAAAAACCTTTTTAAGAATAAAAAGTGACTAAAGGTCTGTCGTGTTTTTGTTTCAGAACCCTTTTACACTGAAACTTCTGAATAAAAACCCAAATAACCATTTCCCACCTATTAGAGCCCAGCTTTGTTTTATGAGTATAAATCCCCCTATGTTGTAAAGATCTCAGAAGTTTGTTAAGGAACAGAAGAGAAAAGACATGAGGCACCATGAAGAAGAAAAATCAGGGAGAAAGTTGTGAAATATCACAAACTTTGAACACCTCACAGTTCAATCCTTCCTTCAAAGGTGGAACTTGTATCCTGCGGCTGCAAATCTGCTGATCCATCTGAGAAGCAGAAGAGAGTTGATACAATAATGGGTGGAGCTAAAGTTAGTGGCTTCAGAAGGCTTGAGTCTGAGGTGGTCCATCTTCCAGTGGGAGAGCGCTACTAAACATTCAGCTGAGTTACTATTGAGCATTTAGATCAAGCTAATTCATGTTAGAATGAACAGAAGTCCAGATAGAGGTGACTTACTCACTCCAGCATGACTCAACTTTCTCTATTTGGCAAAGATGAGTGGGCATTAATGTTAGATTATAGATGTGTAAGCTCAAGCCTGCAGGGAAATGTGAATCTAAACAGTATTGACATACAGTTGATGAATTAAATGCCTGCTGCACTGTTTAAGTTCAGAAGAGTGAATAAATGAAGAATACCATACCATTGGAGATGAAGTGTTTTATATATATGTTATGACTTTCTGTATATTATGGCTTTCCAATTAAAATAAAAACATTTAAAATGAGAATATTACAAAAGACCAATAAAAACATTATTACAGAAATGTTGGTTAAGTAAACGTATGTTTTCTGTCATCCTAAACATGCGTTATTTCTTCTTTCTTTCTTTAGAGACGACTGGGTTCTGGTTGGACTCTGTTACCCATCAGACACAACGTTTCAGATCATGAGTGACATCTATGACAGGCAGAGAAATACATTTGATGACATTGTTGATTATGGCCCCGTTTCCTCGCTGGCCCAGCTGAAGTCCACAGAAAGAAAGTACTTCTTTGACCAACCTGTTGGGTGAGCAAACCCAAGGACTATCCTTTTAGAAATGGTTTTATTATACTGCGCAAAAATTAAAATCTAAATAAGTAATTTTTCTTGAATTGAGGAGATAAGTGAAACGCTTTGTTAATCGACATAAAATTTAACTTAAAAAAACTATTGCATTGGGTCCTAATTATTTTACTTTAAGAGTAAAAATATGCATTCCATTGGCAAATCGTCTTATTTACCTACTCTAATTAAGAGTGAATACGCTTGATTTAAGAAATGTTACTTATTTCCAGATGGTTTTTGCAGTGTAGGTCTTTAGTTAAACTTGATAGCAGTGAAAAGCCTTGACTTATATAACATGTTTCCCTTCTTAGAGCTACAGTGTACAACTATTTGCACCTTCTCTGTTACCTGATTGGGTCGGGCTGATCAAAGCGGGAGTTGTAAGCTGACCTCAGCACAGACAGCTGTTAACAATTCCATGATTTGGTTTATTGTACTTGGGCGGATGTAACCACACTGCAAAAAATAGAAACCTAAATAAGTAATTTATTTCTTAAAATAAAGGCATTTTTTCTTGAACTAATGAGGTAAGTCACACACTTTACCAATGGAACAAGACAATTTACATTAAAAATAACAAAAAACAATTGAATTGTCTTATTTTAAGTGCATTGATCAAATTATCTTATAATAAAAGCACAAATACTAATTCCATTGGTAAATCATCTTATTTACCTACTAAATTTAAGGGGAAATAGACTTATTTTAAGAAATTTTTGCTTATTTCTAGATTGTTTTTGCAATGCACCTTAATAGGCTTTAAGGTGACGTTGACTGACACAAGCTAACATTAGCTTTCAGTGATTAAACTTGCTACCTGGATTATGTATGGCTAATATTGCATACCATTGAAGACAGCGCTGGTACCCAGAACATGGAAGAAAGAACAGCTCCCTGTTTTAATAGGATATAAACCCAGATGTAAAGGCATACATTGCAAAAACGATCTAGAAATAAGTAAATATTTCTTAAATCAAGTGTATTTAGCCTTCATTTGAGTAGGTAAATATGATTATTTGCCAACAGAATAAGATTTTTTACTCTTAAAATAAGATAATTAGATAATATGCACTTGAAAGAAGACAATGCAATTGTTTGTCCTATTTGAAATGTGAATTGTCTTGTTCCATTGGCAAAGTGTCTCACTTACCTCCTCAATTCAAGAAAAAAATGCCCTTATTCTAAGAAAAAATTACTTGAGATTTAAATTTTCTGCAGTGTATTCACCTTCCTTGACTAGTCCTCTCTCATAATTCCTCTAGTTCTGATTTAGTCCAATAGGATGTCAAATTTTCCCTGTATTTCTATGCAGTTTTTTTCAATTTTTTGTAAATTTATATTTTTTTATTAAGCTCTGAATCTTCATGCCATGGGTTAGTCTTAGATAATCTGTTTAACTTGGATAATAAGTCCATATGATGTGATTCAAAAACTTCAGGGGGTGTCACAAGAGTAAAACTGTTATACGTAGTTATGAAAGTTAAGTTTTTGTTAACGTGCTAAAATAAAATTGTTACAAATCTGTCTTTTAACAAAGTGTGCTGTAGGTGTTGCAGCAGCCAGAGTTTAGCTAAAATGATAACCATCCATGCTAAGATTCATTATCACACTGCCAATAAAAGCTTCTCCATCTACTGCTGTGACGGAAGTTAATCAGTGATGACTGGACATTTATTGTTAAGTACTTTAAAAAAAATTTATAAATAGAAGTAAAATGCTTGAAATATGAGAAATAGTCTTAAGATAAAGAATGCCTGTCTTTGAAGGGATGAGAAAGGAAATACCTTGTAAGAATTTCCTCCCTGATGATGTATAAAGATTTAACATTCATAATGACCTGTAACTTTGCTTTATTATTTTAATTAGAGTGTGGTAGATTAGTGCTTTTATATTAAATAGTACCACATATACTTCCAGAGGAGCATGTCTTCTCGACCCCCCTAGAGAGATTTAATCTCCTCACCTTTTCACCCCCGACCCGTTGTCATGTCTGCTTGCAATATAATCAAGTGATGAAGAGGTCTGGGGAGTTGTTGATGCTTAGTTTGGGTTTTAATACAGACAGATGTTCACCTATAAAGGTCAGCTTTCTCACGGTCGCCACATCAGTTTTCATTTTAGCTGTCTCTGAGGCTCCACGTTTCTAAAAGCTTATTGAACCGTTTCTTCCTGCTGTGCTTGTGAAATAACTTGCAGCTTACTGTGGTTTTACCTCCGAGCCCGGCATGGACGGGATGGCCACAGCTACTGCTCAACCAAAGGCTGCGAAAGAGTAAAAATCACAGCCACTACATCGTCCAAACAGACCTGCAACTGTACCGCTAAGGCCTATCCCAAGTACTCCAAGCCCCCCTCAGCTGTGGTGCCTCTGCCAGCTCAAAACACGCAGCTTTGCAAAGACTGTGGGGCTGAGAAGGTTTGTTTTATTGCATTTTAACATTAAGAAACAAAGCAGAACAGTTTATCATGTGTGGTGTTGTCGTTTCAGATGGTGTTTTCTAGTGAGCCTTGGATGTCCTACCTTCACACACAAGTTAAGTCTTTAAGCAGCAAAGAAAAAGGACATAATGACTCCTTTATTACTGTGAGTTTGCAGCACTCTATAAACACAGATGTTAAACTTTTTTATTAGTCCCGCTTGTTAGTTTCCTCTACTGAAAATGTTTCCTGTTGCCCTTCAGGTAAATGAGGTTACCATGCAATTTTCTCAGACTGGGTTTTTCCTGGTCTCTGTGGATGCCTGTTCGGGAAAAGTCACCAAAAAAGTCTCATTTAAGAAGGTAGACACAAAGATGAAACAGTTTCTAAAAACAGGAATCCCAAAGCGGTGAGTTCATGGAAGGAGGACGATACAGTTAACAAGCCAGAGCCCATAAAAAAGCTGTCCTGAATGTTTCCTGACATTTCTGCTTGTCTCCAGGTCAATAGTACTCTTAGCAACACGAGGTCAGCCTGAGGGGCTGGTGGACATGGCTCCACTTCTGATTTCTTTTGGTTTTGCTAAAGCTGCTGATCTGCACAAAAAAGGTAAATATACTAAGTTTTGGGTTTTTTTCTTTAGAGAATCGCTGATCAGAACTTGTGTTGTCTGGTTTTTATAAAGCATTAACTTGCTAAATTTTATCTGAGCTCATTTAGATTTTTCTTTAAAATTAATATTACAAGTTGACATAAAATCAAAGTTTTGCAAATCCTTTTACTGCAATATGAGTTTTGATTTATTACGATAGAAATCTCCGCCTGCAACATTTTGGATCAGCTGAAGGCTTAACCGCAGTTTCAGGACCTCCTGATAGTGAAGCATTATTTCAACCTAGAAGTAAGAAATGCATGGACTAGATTCTCAACATCTTCCCTGGAAAGCATATTTCTAATTTCCCCAATTTAAATCCCCATTTGAGGATTTTGAAACCTTCAAAAACTAAAACTACGTTTACATATTTGAATAAATTCAGCATGAAAAGCTGTAAAAATCAACGTATACAAATTGTTATTAAAGGTCAACATTGTACTACTTAGTGAAGTTACGTAGTGCTGTTTGGAGATCCCTGCTACCAATACCTCCTTATCCAGTATGTCCCATAATAGCAAGAGGTTAATAGGTCTGATGGAGAAAGCATAGCAACCTATATTTGATAGGTTTAGTCTAGAGTCCTGCAACGGGTCGGGTACCCGACGGGTCACCCGCAAAAATGCTCTTTTGCGGGTGAAAAATACATAAATAAAAATAAACGGGTCGGGCGGATATTATTTTTAGTGCGGGCGGGTAGTTGGTGATTTTTTTAATTTTTTTTTTTTTTTATGCGTGTGTTGTTATGGACATCAGAAATGTTATGTTAATCAGGCACTGTCTGGGGTCACCCTTGTTGTAGCTTAAAGCCCTGCCGACAGTGTGGGCTTCCCTCCAAAAAGGCCACAGTCAGAGCATACATGTCTGCTGCAGTGTTAATGGCGCTGTTCTGCAGCGCAGCGTAGTATAGCCTATTACTTGATGTGTTAACGGGTCGGGTTGCGGGTTAAATATCAACGGGTCGGGTTCGGATGTGAATTGAAGATATCCGCGGGTGACGGGTCGGGTTCGGTAGTCATCCTAACGATTCGGGCGGGTGCGGGTTGGTAAAACTGGACCCGTGCAGGACTCTAGTTTAGCCTTTATGTTACCAGCAGGAAATTGTGTTCTCTCTCAATCTCTTTCAAGAGAGAAACAGAAAAAGTTCAAAATCGTTCATTTTAAATAGACCTCCTTTTTTTTTGTTCTGTATGCATTGCTTGCTCAGTGCTAAAGCCTCACTAATACTTTTAATAGATTAATTTTTTGCATTCTTGTTTTTATGTAGCATTAGATGTTTAAGCTTACAACCAGCTGTGGGGCGTTAAATTGTATACTTGTCTGATTATGGTCAGCAGCTAATTTCTCTGTGTATATTTTCTTTTCTCCCTATTGTTGTTGCTCTATGATGTTATTTCCTCTCATAACAGACAGCCTTGCAATGTGGGGATTCCTGGGTGCTTCTCCGCCTCCTTCGTGGGTTTCGCTCCAAACTGGAGAAGAGGACAACACGTTGGGGCTGCAGGAGCGCTACCTGCCCCTGGGTTTGGAGAGTTACGGCTGTTCGCCACTTGCAGCTCAAAAACGCAAAGACCTTGAGCTTCTGAAAAAAGCCACAGGACAACACTAGCCAATGTGAACACTTCAACCTGCCAAGCCAAAAAAAAAAAAACTTGCACACGAACACACAGCCAGTTGATGAATGTGAACTGCTGAACTCTTAATTTATTAACAGACAAGTATGTTTACCTGTATGGAGTGGGGAAAAGGAGTGATGATATGAGCGGGGTAAATATTTTATTATGATTTTGTTTGGAGGTGTGTTAGTATTGGCCTGTCTTGGGGCCTTTTTTGTTCCTTTTAAGTCAATGCACTTTTGTTTTATAGATCCATCAGCCAAAGCTTTAACAAGTAACTATTTCTTTTATCTTGGACCTGATGAACTAAATCGGCTTGTTATAGCCAACAATAAACTTTTATCAGCAGGCGCAAAATAAAATGGCAAATGAAAAACACCAAGGGGATTAGGTTCTCAGAAACCTAAAGGAAATTCTGCAAAAAAACTATTGTACCTGAAAGTAGACATTGATCAAACTTGAAATGTAAGTACAAAGCGATGTTAGTCCAGGTTAAAGCCTGTAGTGTAGGAAATCAAAGCCAGTGGGTTAGAGGTCCTAGCATATGACAAGACATGAAAATTAACAATGATACTCCAATCTGCAATAAGTTTTCTACCTGAATTTTAACTGGAAAACCTCTCCTGATTATTGTGCAGCTGAAAGATTTTAAGTTTTAAGCACCTTTGTTTGGATTCCTACTTGGTATTACTGGAGCTTCTTTTTCATGTTTTATTTAACCTTTCACAGTGAAAATGTCAGAAGAACTTTGCTTTATCTGCAGCACAAAAAGAGATTACTTTTCCTCATTTATTTTCTGAACAGAACTGAATGTTTTACCAGTTTTCTGCCTCATTCATTACTATTTTATGTACATAATTACCAAAACAGATTGACAAAATATAACTGAATTGTTGAAGCATACTGGGCAGCCTTAGTGAGCAGAAATGCATACAGATGTGATACCTGCTGAGTTGTATACAGCTGTACTTTAGGATGATGTATTCTTTATGGATGTGACCAACCAGGGCTTCCCCCACTGAGTGTTGAGATGTTTCTGTTCATGACTGATTGTGTGACAGTCTGAGTATAATAATTACCGTGTTGCCTTTTAACCACTGTACTGTTAGAATATAGAAGAAAAAATGGAAGATATTTCTGTTTCTAGCCTTTTGTTCAGCTGATGCGTTTAAGCTGTACGAACCAGATATTTCGTTCTGACTAAAGAAACCTTGTAAATATGATTCTGTACTTGTACTGTAGAAATGTTAAGTCATTGTTGTATTTACTGTCCTATTGCTGTTTTGGTCATCTGATGAGTTATTGTACATTTTAGAATTCGACATAAATATTCTTCCAGTGTTATAAGTTTTACAGTCGAATAAAGATATGTGCCTTTGGTAAAAGTTGATGTTTTGGTTCCATATTTTGTTAAGAGTTTGTGTTTATTTTAGTCAATATGTACTCTAAAAACCTTTTGGTATTCTGAAAAAGCCGTCTGCCCAGGATGTTAATAGTACCTTGAAAAAAACAGCTGTACCTCATGAGCTTTGACACATTTTGTCATATTAAAAGGGTGAAGTTTTTCATTGGGATTTTAAATAAATGACCAGAAACAAGAAGCAAATAATTTCGAATTGAAAATAAGACATAGGCTTTCAGTTTTATTTCATTTTATAAATAAGAATCATAACTAAGACATGTCATTGTAATCCATCATCTCTGGGTCAATACTATACAGAACTATTTCTCTGTGCAATTATAGCTGCTAATACGTTGGTCCTTTCAGTTTCCCGTTTCTGTAAACTGAAATGTTTGTAGATTATTCCAGTGTCAGATTTGAGGAGGAGTATCTGGGGATAGCAAACTTAATTTTGCCACAAATTCACAACTCGATCTACGGTAAATGAATGTCCAAGGCCCTATAGTTCATGCTTGTCTGATTGATTGATTTATTGATCTCACAGTGGAGAAATTGACTTGTTACATCAGATCAAATAGTCAAAGGAGAAAACTGCCAAAAGAAGAAAAAGGTGCATCAGATAGATACAGTGCATCGATATATGAGAGCTTTTTTCTTTTTTTTTAATAGTAGGATCCCTATACAGGGTTATTGCACAGGGTGCTTACATGGGAATTTATGTAGATGTATATTCATATATAGAGAAACGTGTTATTGCACAGGGTATCAAATAGTAAATTGCACATTATACATTTCACAAGTTATTGCCCTTATAGTGTCTCATTGTAGAGTCTGGTTGCAGCAGGTTAAGAAACAGGGTTTAAAAGTCTTTCACTAAAAGAGCTACTCAGCTCCTCTACAGACTGCAGAGGGTGGAAGGTCTCCATGATGGATGTACGTAAGCTTGTGCTGCAATGCAAACAGTCAGGAATAACCAGAATCCTGCTTGAAAGAAAATCACTGTGTTTAAACTTTGTTACTAGCTCAAAGACAGCTTTTTTTGAGTCAGCTATTATTATTTACTATTTTTTATGTTGTATAGTGACATATTTGTTTTTGGTTAAATGTATTTTGGTGTGTGTTTTGGGACAAGTGAGGAAGTATATTAATGTAGCTGTTTCTTTTATAAGATAAGGTACATTGGATGTATTTGAGGTTTAACACTTGTTTATATATATATTGTGTGAACCTGAGAAATAATGTTTTTTCAAGCAAATGAACAAAAATAAGATATACTTTGCAATAGAACAAGACAGGGGTCACTCTATTCCAGAAAACAAGTGAATAACAGAAAATAAAGAGCGACATATGGGCAGCCAGCTGTCACTTAGTGTTGAGAAGAAGTGAGGAGCTTTTTTAGATTAAAGATGCTTCTAACTGAAGCAAATGAAGTCATTATTCCTGCACATAAACAATTCACAGAAACCTGTAGCTCTTCAGCCAGTGCTTCTCTTTAGGAGGGCTCTCAGTGAATCAGTGGCTCTGATTAGTCTTCTCAGTGTGTATTATAGGCATGCTTAACATCCACCCACATTGGAGCTCCTCAGCCAATCAGTGTCACAAACGTGTATCTTAGCTCCCTGCTCCTCACTGCAGCTAAACTCTCTTCACAGAGCATAGACAGTGCATTTATGAAAAGTCATTAAAAAAAAAAATACTCCCAATACTGGTGCCATTTACAAGGTTTTGTTTAGATCATAGGATTGAATTAGAGCAGAGATTGAGCCTGGCCTTCTCATCCAACATCAGTATCTGACCTTACAAAAGGTCTCCTGGAGGGAGCTCATCAAAATGCTCATAATACGTTAGTAGACACCCTGCCTACTTTTAATGAAAGGCTTAAAACATCCCTTTTTAAAGCTTATAGTAAGAGTGGCTAAGGTTATCCTGGGCTATCTCTAGTGTTATGCTGCTATAGGCTTAGTTTCCTAGAGGACATAGGAACCTCTTTTCATCATTCTGCTTCATTCTATCTCTATTCTCCCATTCTGCAGTATTTGTTAGTTCAATCTCTGATTTTATACTCTCTTTTTCTTATCATAGTAGCTTCATCTGGTCTGTTACTGTTTGGTTGTGACACCATCCTGGAGAGAAATAACAGCTATGCTGCTGCCATCAACACCTTTGTTTATAGATGTTGGAGCTTGGACTGTTTTTCAGTGTGGTCCTGTTTCTCTGGCTGTGACTAACTGTATACTCTCTTTCATCCACTGACATGGGAGCTGGTTTGGAGCTTGTCTACCTGGCTGAGTGTTACCTGGTAGGGGCCCCCTGTGGAGCTGATTGACAGTTGCCTTTTATATCTCTGTTTCCTTTTCCATCTCTGCTTCTGTCTCATTGAACCCCAGTCGGCCTCTGCAGATGGTCGTTCACACTGAGCCTGGTTCTGCTGGAGGTCTCTTCCTGGTAAAAGAGAGTTCTTTCTCCCTGCTGTCGCTACAAAACATGCTTTGTGTAAGGGATGGCTTTCGAGTCAATAAGTCGATGCAATCAGCTGGTTTTCCTTAGATAGAAAACTTGATCTTGTTGAATTGTCTCTAGTGCTTTGAGATGATGTGTTATGAATTGGCTCTATATAAATAAACTTAATTTAATTGAATAAACCTTGTTGACAACCATCCTAAAGTATAACTGCAGGACCTTTATCATAATGAATCCAAAGGATTAAGATTGGGAAGTCGTCTAAGTTTATATATGAGTCAAGCCCGGTGAATAAATACTTATGGCAATATAGTGCAAATTCTTGAGGTTTGTATCTGCGCACAATGGTGAAACACCTAACAAGTGACAAAAATAACAACAGAAAAACAGAAAGCTCTATATGTGGTTGAGTGTGAAATACTTTCATAAAAATGTTTTTCTTCTAGTTCTTTTCTGTAATCTTTTGTTTCTTAATCCCCCTTTTCCCGAACTGATCCTTATGTGCTGGAATCTTCAGATGCCAGACACATTTCAAGACTGTAGTAAAGTGTTACTATTGGTGTCCTTTGATGCTCTCCTTTTTTTTGCTACATAGAGAGACTGAATATACTTCTAACAGCTCAATTTAATTATGCAATACTAAGAGTTTTGAACTGTAGAAATGCATTTAGAGAAATGCCAAGGCTAAAAATATGACACTAGGGACCTGTGTGGGCAGAAGCCTTTAGCGTTTCACTGTATTAGTTATCATGGAAAGGGTATAGCTATGGCAACACGATCTGCTTTGTAAGACAGATTTTTATCTTTTTTAGTATTTTTACATAATTAATCAATATTTCATTTTCAGTGTATTTTATGCATACAATGAGAATCATCAACAACATCACACAATTGTATTTAAATAAATGAACTGGGCAGGTTGGAAAATCATTATAATTACATGTATTTAACTTTTTGTTATTAAAAATGTAGGCACCTGCCTTTAATTGGAGGGTCTGAAGAAACCACAGAAAAAAAATCACAGACAAAGAAACTATATCCTCATTGAGAAACTGTAGCCAAGTTTAAAACCAAAAACCCTCTGAGTAATGTATGCATGCACAAGTACAGAGCCATGCAAAAAAAAAAAAAAATTCTGCTTGAATTTCATCCTGTGGTCAACTGAAAATAGTAGGACACATGCAGATCTACCAAGATATACTTATCCAAT